TTTCCCTGGGAGGACTTACTGCTTGGCCACTCTCCACGGGTATGCGAACATACTGACGACTGTATTTGGAAGGTGAAGCACCTGCAGCATCCGTTAGAGACCTGAGACAAAATACAGCTTTAGGGTATAGTTCCGCAGCAAAAAGCTGTAACGATGCCAAACGCGCAGTAACGATTAAGAACTATCATTCTTCCACTTCTAAGAAAACTGGCTTTTGGAAATGTTTTTTCTGAAGTGTACTGCATTCTAAACATGCTTTTTGTTTTGTAGTAAGTTAGTCACACTTGCATGTTTCAAAAGAGTTACCATTTCTGATAACCATGCTCTTCGACACTTAAAGTGTATTCTCTTCCCACCCATATTTTTTTAGTGATAGAGAAGAGGAAGTCTCTATTTCATGCTTTATTCAACTTCCATCAGCTTTCCCAAGTTTGAATAAAAAATTCAAGCGGTAACAATATTCTTTTCACTTTAAGAAAAGTATCTTGCTTCTAGAAGCTGATTTATCCCTGTAATTCATGTCTGACACTGATTTGTGACCTATCCAGTAATTACCTTTTTCTTTTGACCCCAACAATATAATTTCCTCGCATCAAACTTAGGATAAATTGAAGAATCTAAAAAGGAAAAACAGAAAACCAAAACCAAGTGGTTAGCATAGCAATCCTAACATTAAATTATTAATTCAGACTTTACTACAAAATTACGTAGTTATGCGATTGAAATTAACAGGTAAATTAAATATCCATTTGTGCTCATGTCTTAAAAACCAAAATCATTAGTTACAAATGGCATTGAAAAATTATCCCACTTGGACAGGTTTGGTTTTTTTGTCGGCTTTGTTTTTTTTAAAGTGTAATATAACACCACAAGTCATTAGAGGATTCCAGACCAGAAACAGCTGAGGGATAAACCAGAGAAAAATGTATTCCAGTGCAGAAGCTCCTATAGTTTCTGGGTTCCAAGTTGACTTCTTGAGTGGTCAAAGTCTGTCTTGGTCCAAGATCTTGCCCAGACTCCATTCCATGTGCCTGCCATCTCTTGGTTTAGGCTCCTGTTACCATGCACTGCCTCCAGCCCCACATTTACCCAGGTCAGCTTGATTTACTGCTTTCTCTCCAAATAAGATTCACTGAGACTTCAAACACATTGAAATCCTTTTTACTAAGACCTTTCCTTAGCATTTTGCTCGTGGTTCTTTGCTGCGCTACTTCTGGGAGGCTCAGGAACTGTGAACATTTTCTTTATGCTGTATTAATATAGCCTGTTCAGCTCTGTGTCATTTGTCATTCTACATAAGCAAAGAATGCCATCAAGTATCACAGAGGCAGGAATAAGGATGGTAGCACTGAAGATGCTGCAATGGTACCTTAGACAGCAGCTTCTGTTGTTGACTGTGCTTCTGCCTTAGAACTGCCACTTCTTTCCACAGGGCCTTATTTTCTCTGCAATGCAGAATAAATCAGAAGACAGAGGATGAACAGAGTTTACTTTAGACGCTTTAGTTTTACAGCTTTCAAACTTTCACAGTACCTTGCAGGACCAATGGCAACATTCTTTCCGTGGATAACTAACAATCGGTTAATCCAATCCACTAGTATAAACTCTGGGCTAAATTAATTCCATTTTCCATCAGGCAGGACCAAACCAATAAGGACATTCTCACCCTCTGCTGCTCCACCAACAATCTTGATCTCAGGTATTCCTTCAAAGCCCCAAAGCCTTAGAATAAAGACTTGGTGTTTGGAAACAGGTCGACTGTAACACAGACCACCTCAGAACAGGTTCGATGTTTGTGTTTGAGGTGGGGTTTTTTTGTTTGTTTGGGTTTCTTCAAAGGAACAGAGTGAGTGGAGGTATCTCTTGAACTTTGGTTGATACCTGCTTGCATACCAATGATCTGAACGAATTGCCAGCACCTACACAAAAAGGATCTGAGGGAACAGAGATGAGGATGTGCAAAGTCCACTTCCAATCAGAAAGTAAACCAAACACTAATTCTGTCTCCCTGACTGCATCTAACCCTGTTTTGTGTTTAGAAAAGGAAACGCTTTGATTGCCCTAAACAACTACGACAGATGATGGCAACCAAAATGAAATCTGAAGGCAGTCAACAAACTCCCAGTCTTAATCTCTGGTCTGTTACTGAATTACGAAAACAAGCAAGATTTAGAATGTTGTGTGGGGTGAATGGGGATTCGTACGGAAAAAAAAAAATACAGCTTCACCTGTTTCCAGTTCAAATGAAACCCACATTTAGAGTCAAGCTCCATTAGATATAAGCAACACTCAACGTGTAAGTGCCTCTGAAACAGACAGCGTCTACCTCTTCATGTTAGCCAGTCTGACATCCATGTTGTTCTGCTGCTCTCTCATTTCCTGGACTTCAGAGAGCACTTTGTGCAAATCCTCTGTACAGACTTTGAGATCCTCCGTTCTTACTGCAGATACCTAAAATAGGACCAGATTACACATGCTTTACTACAAACAGTGCCTTGCATAGTGCTTTCTACAGGAACAGCGTAGTCAGTCTGTGGAAGAACAGGTACAAACTCCAGTAAAAGATTAAGTAATACTGTAATTCTCATGGATCGCAAAACACTGCAACTGCTATAGATGATAGTCCTTGGGCCAGTCTCAACCATATGAAAAACCCCAACATGTCAATGAAAACAGGAGATTAGCACTTGGCATGTGTTGGCAATAGCTTCACCATTGTAATTCACGCTAGAAACCTACCACTCATTGGAAATGGCCATCTCTAGGGGGTTCTCTGACAGGTCTGGTGGCAGCTTGCCCTCTAGTGTCAAAGAGTAAGACACCAGCCAAAACCAAGACTCAATTGATAGTGGAGTAAGAACGAGATGATCATATTCCCTTTAGGTGTGGGTAAATCTGCCAGCACAGGAGAAACAAATTTCAATGAAGTTTCAATTGCAGGTTCCTATATTGCTGTTTCCTCTATTACCTCTCTGCTCAGTGACATTCCAAAATTACGGAGATGTGTCTCCAGAAAGTAAGAGTCCAAACTGCTTTTCTGGGATCCACGAATGCCACCTCTTCAAACGATAGTGGAAGAGTCATCAGAAAGCAAAAAGCTCACTCTCTCCTCCTCAAACTTCCATATTAAAATTTTCCAATTCCTTCAGCAACTCTCTCTGCAGTGGTGACATTGATGGCTGATATACGATTCAGGATTTTGAAAAAGATAGGTCTGACGCATCACAGTTCTGAATGAGACGTCCAGGTTTTGTGGGCATCATTTTAAATACCATTTAGGCAAATACTGACCATATAATTGACGCAAATGGAGTTGCACCAAATAACCACCAGATGTCCCTTCTAACCGACAGCATGATACGATTATTCTTATTATTCTACTAAATTCCAAGAGGGAGGTGAAATCATCTGGGAAGTGCTAGATAACTTCCATGCAGGCTGGCTCACAGATCCCTTTTTTTCCAAAGGAGAATGGGATAGTCAGAAATAGAGCTATGGTGTTATAAAATAACATCCCATCACTTCATGATGAAACAGAACATGAGCGTTATGTAACCACTCCACAGAAATAACTAACCGCTCTCTTAACATAATCCACTGTTATAAGGGATGGACTGAATGGCCTGCCTCTGTCTACCTCTTTAGATGCTTTGCTATTTGTTGCGGATAATACCTTACGCTAAGGTACATGAGCTGAAATTCACGGCCGTCTGATTTCTCTTCAGCATACCACCTCTCCGTGGGGAAGACACCCAAAAGATGCAGATAGCAGACGGAAATTTCAAATGCAGTCAGCCTGCCGCTAAAAAAGGGCCAAGCAATTGCTCTCTTCAGAGTCTCCAACTAGGTAATAAAGGTGTTGAGACTGAAGCACACCAGCAGAGCTAACAGTAAAAGGGAGCAAATAAAGGAAGCCCTGCATTCAAACCTGCATTCCTCTTAAAAGGCTTGAAACGGGGTTTATGGCAAGTACTGAAATACAACTCCATTCGAGACAGTAAAAGAGCAAGAAGAACTAATGGATATTTTGCAAAAGATCACTAACATTTCCTCTGCAACAAAGAATGTGTTTCACCGACCTATTAATAAATAGTTTCGTATGAATGTCCTTGGCACTAACTAGAGCTTTTGTCTTTCCATCTGGAATACTCCACCCAGTGCAACACGCCTGGGATGCATGGTGCCATACAGAACGTCATCAGCCGACTGCCCCAGCATACCAGCAAGCAAGGTGTGCAAGCCAAGACAAGCTAGCGATTACAGCATCTGGGAGGAGCACAGGCCTGAGTCAGAGAAGCAACTGCACAACTATATTTAATCAATTGTGGTTCTGAGCGGAGACATCTTCGTGAAGAATCAATCAAAACACAATTGTGATTCTCAAGCCTACCCTGTGCTTTTATTAACTTGGGCAATGTAGCTACCACATTACGACATTCTAAAGAAAAGATTCTGCACTTCAAATGTCAACATGATGTATCATGAAACTCTCTTTCTCTGGCAACCCGGATATTATGGGCTGTAATGTGCCAATAGAGGATAAATATCTGTGCAGAAACAGGTCAGACAAGGCCTGAATGAACAAAAGAAAACCAGTAAGCGCTAATAAAGATGTAGCTCAGTGGCAACACAGTTTTGGAGGAACAATGCAATTTATGAAACTCGCCCAAATGAACTGATTACGATGCCCTTGCTAATTTTCAATTATTACCAAATGGGAATGTATTTTCTTTTACTTCTTCCACTTTGTGCCTCTTTCCAACTCTGCTATGCTGGCAGGATTGAAGACCATGGTAAGCTGTAATCGGGTATGTGAACTCTGTGGAAAAGGGGCTCTAGGTTGACAGCCACAAAGACTGCGGTCCTACTCCTGTGCACTGCTAAACAACCGCAGGATGCCCTTTGTCCAAGAGCTGGCATGAGGAGGCCAAGCCAAGCATTAGCCTGCCATTCAGGAGGGAGTTACAAAGGCTTTGCTGATGCACGACCTTGGTTCACATGTTATTTGTTGGTTGTGAAGTTTTTTTAAACACCCAGACATGCTCTTGATAACCTGCTTTCCATAACAAAAAAAAAAGCAAAGTAAATACACGGTTAAACTATACCTTGCGCTTGATGTTTTCCAGTAAATGTGCCTTCCCTTGCTTGAAGAAAGCGTGCTGGAACTCAATGACTGAGCTTTTCTCTGCTGTAATCATACCATTCTCCAGAGCAATCACCTTCCTGAAACCATCTGTAGAGAGGGATCAACAAAGTCATTTCTTTCGGTGCAAAGCTGACTGTTACAACACAGAGCTAACGAAAACCCCAAGGCTACTGAAATACCTACAGCACTACAGTTATTGGGAGCAGAAACTATGCACAACCGCCAAAGTAGCTTTTCTTTGATGCTCAATGACTTGACTGCTCTGATCTTCACAGCCAGAGAACGGGTCCACAGTACCATCAAATGACCTTGCAGGCTGTACAAACAGCACATGTGTCTGCAGGCAAGACAGTGATGTCCAAATAATCACAGAAGTTAGTGAGAAATGAGATTTATTAGGACATCTTGAATAAAATCTTGTCCCAGTGGAAGTGGCAGTATGGTGCACCTTCCCTTTCATGCCTATAATCCCAGGCAGCTACGTATCAAAACAAATACTGTCAGGTACCACCAGGATCTACAGAATAAAGGAAATTAGTTCTCAGCCTATGCAAACACATGCACGCAGAGTACTTTCTCCAAACCAGAGCGCCTGCATGAAATAAGACATTGCCAGCTATATTTCCATCACTGCCCCAAGTGCCGCAGGCTAGATGCAAAATGCAGTTGACAGACCAATCCGCACCTCTCCTTGTTCAAGTTTTTAACGTAGCTAATGTATTCCAGTTTCACTGAGCCCCAACAGCGCTATCATTAGAAAACTCTACTCAAAGCTAGGATAGGTCCAGCAGGAAAAGGAGGCTGCCATCGCAGTGCACATTTTCACAGGAATATTTGCATTTTAGCATTTATCCTTGCTACAAGGCAACTGACAAGTGTTTGTTTGCATTATCCTTTAGCATTTATCCTTGCTACAAGGCAACTGACAATTGTTTGTTTGCACACTCAAGTGACGGAGTCTCGATACTTGACACAAATAGCAGCATCCACCCTGCGTCAAGATGCTAAATATATGCTTTCTCTCTCATGTCTGATAGCAGCATCCACCCTGCGTCAAGATGCTAAATGCATGCTTTCTCTCTCATGTCTGACGAAATCTAAATAGGCATCAGCTAGAGAGCCCGGGCAAACCTACTGGGCAAGCACAGGGAGTTCCCCCCTTAACCCAAATGGAAATTCTAAGTAACACGGCCGTCTTCTATGCAGTGCGTGCCTTCGCTCAGCCCATAAGCTATCTACCGCAAAACAGCGATTCCTCCTGTGTGTTGCAGCCCCGGACATCGTACTGCATCTTTGAATTACCGCCTCAGTCCAGCTTCTGCACCTGCACAAGTGGTACACGCGTTATATAACGGATGCTACATGATGCTGACAAGTCAAGCACAGAAAACTAACGAGAAGCTTAGTCCAGCTTGACCCATCAGTGTGACTAATCTTATTTCCAACACAGCAATGCAGGCAACAGCACGATCCAGGCAATTTTTTCCATATACTAGATGCACGGGTGTAGATACGACCTTTGCTCCTCTAGGTATGCATAAACTTGCTGTTACCACTAACACCACCACTGGAGCCCAGTGAACTCTACCCAAGCTTTTGGTACCACCGCGTGAAACAATGTCGTTGCTCAACGGGACTCAGAGCTGAAACAGAAAACAAAGACTAAGCCATTCTTTTCTTTTGCAAAATAAGCTCAAGACCAGAATTCGGGTTTTCAGGAATAAAAGACCTGCCAAGTCAATTGGTTTGTTTAAAGAAATTCAAATTGATGTCAAGTAACAATGAATTTGGCAGAAAGAATACTTAAGGACAGCTGATGCTTACACATGTTAAGCTGTCGTATGAAGCTGGAGATATTGTTGTGTTTGAAGTACTTGGGGAGTAGCTCCTTGGCAAACCTCTGCTCATCCAGAATGCAGAAGTTCTCGCCATTCTAGGAAATAAGCAAAAGTAACAGTTAGAGAACAAACACAATTTTTCAAAGCGAGGACCATAAACCAACAGAGACAGTTCCTACAACAGGGAGGGGCAAAACACTCGGCAACGGGAATCGTCCCTGCGAGCAATTGTGAGGACTTGGGGCTGCACTAGAGAGTTTGAATCCGAAGACGACAGTTACGTGAACACTCCTACTGAACGGGCGATTTTTTTAAAGCCCTGGAGTTTTGGTCTTAATCTAAAGAAAAATCGTTCTAACACCCCACGTATCTGCTGCTGTCTTGATCCACGGGAAACACCACACCGCGATGGAGCTCGTGCCACTAGAGGGCTTTTATCGCCCTCGACCGAGTTGCCCAGCTCCTGACGAGGTTCTTCCATTGCACGTTCTATGTCACCACTAAAAATAACCAAGTAACATCGCGGAGTTACTGAGGGTTCAGACAACGCAACCCAGCAGTGAAGACGGGTAACTGTGACACAACCAGTTTCAGATTTATCGTACTCTCAAGTTCAAACTTCTGGAAACCGGGCAGGTCTTTGTATCATTTTTATGCTGTTCACGCAGAGAGCAAAAACATTATGTTTCTTTTTGTCTTTGTAAAGGCCAAACCTGGGGGGGGAAGAAAAAAAAAAGTGGAGAACACCCTACGGGTTTAAAAAATGACAGAGGACAAAACCAAACGCCGTGTTTGTGTCAGATGTCTGACTAGCCCGTGCTAACGGCCTGTGCTGCCTGAGGGCGGGCGGGACCCACGGGGCCCATCCTCCTCATCTCAGGGAGAAGAAATTAAAAGCTAACTACTCCTTAAAGCGGGGCT